ACTCAGGCGACTGAGGATAGCGTAACGTAACGTATACGTACCGTGGCCGCCTCGACCGTCAGAAGTTTTTCATTCAGTTGCTCAGCGAACGCCAACGATACCAAAACGAATAATGTGAACCGGTGCCATCCAATACCCATAGCCGCATAACTTTTATAGCACACTTTATAGTCGCCCCCCGTCGCGACTGCGGGGCATAAATCAACCTTAGCGAATTAACTAATTTAAAGTGCAATTAAATGTAAATGATTTCAATTAACTCATTTGCGCGAAGAGAAAATTACATTTATTTTTGCCCTCTCGTCCCCGGTACTTCTTCTGTTTTTTTTCCAAACGGACTTAATGCTGTGCGGCGGATAAAACTGCAACTGAATTAAAAGTGCCCCAAACACACTCACTCGCACACTGACACACCCAAACACACACACGTACTCACAGGAAACGGAAAAGAAACTTTCGCTTAAATGTACATCGACGAGGATAGCGAGGAAAGTTCGCCCTTTGTGATGCTCACATCCCCCACGAAGTCTTGGGTCAGTCCTCCGCACAATGTAAACAAAGAGTCCGGACTACAGACTGCGGACTACGGACTACGGACTATAGTCGGGAGACCCGGCTTCGAAGTTCCGAGTCCCGCGTCCAGAGTCCGGCACATCACATCACACATCTCCCGATCTCTCAGTGGCCCCCGGGTCCTGTCCCCCAGTTCCCTTCCCTTGGCACACATCTCTTAATTTCACATTTCATTTTTTCTCGCCCACCCCCCTTGGATGGAAATAGAGACGAAGCCGTGCGGTTGGAACAAGGTTGGGCAAAAAAAAAAAGTTGGAAAAAAGTTTAAATGACTTTTGTTGTTTTTCTAAGTGTTTTTTAATGGTCTACGTGTGCTGGCCGCTGAATCCCTCGTTCCGCTGCTCTCCGCTGATGTATGCTTGATTTTAAATATTACACTTCGCCTTCGACATGTTGGCCAACTGACAGCCATTAAGGTTCAAATACATGGCTTCCTACTACAGTTCATACTTATTTTTTAGACATCACTTCTGAAATAGTCTATTACATAGTCTTTAATTGATAAAGCTTTTATAAATATTAAATAATAAAAATTTTGCCAAAATATTCAACTTGGCATGTTGAACTTTGACATGTAGCTGTGTCAGCAGGAATTTATGCTTGGCCCAAAATATTCACACAACGTTGAGTAAATTATATTTGCATTAGCCACTAACTTGCCCTAAACTGCTGATGAAGCGAAAAGCCCACGAGAGCGTTTGGCATACAACTGTCCATAAAAAAAATATATGACATACTTCATACCAAGAATTCAAAATATAACGCATACGCCCTGTCGTCTGTGTAGCAATTAACTAATGTATTTTAAATTCTGCAATATTTAACATTAACACACATGAACGTGTGAATCGCAACAGTTCGATATTAGGCCCGAATGTCAATATATATTTATTTGTTTACCAGTTTGTTGGGCAAACTATTTTATTTGTTTACGCCGAAACAAAAACCAATTTGGGCCCGCAATAATAATCATAAAGATTACCATGGCCTGTGTGCAGAGCATGCCAGTTCGAAGCCCTGGCTTAAATATGCGTAAAATGCGGCATCTTAAGCTGCCACTCAGACGCTGCTGATGCCGCACCCCCTCAAAAAAGCGATAACACCAGCCAGCGTCCCCCTTTTGGGGGCCTTCCTGAATTTTCTGCGAGGCTGCACGTCAAACGTAGAAAGGGCTTTGAAGTTGCGTTTAGATTTTGCTGGCTCCTTTGTATTGAATTGGTGGCCTCTCCCAACTTGCTTAAAGTTTAATTGAGCGCGTAATTTAAGCTTTTGCCGAGCAACTCCCCCAGCTTCTGGTTGGTTATATTAGTTGCTAAGTGGCAGGACCAATCCCTCCATGCCCCCATGTTCTGGTCAAAAAGGACTCTCCACTTTTTCCCTCTGATCTGGGCCAATTTTAAAGTTTTGCCAACCAAAGTAATTCTCTTATGGTTCAATAAATATTACATGTGATTCATTTAAATATTTAAAAAAATGTTTAAAAAACAAATAGTTGAGGCAGCAAAACATGATTTTAATTAAAAACCCAGAAGATGAATATCCGGTGGGAAAGTCGGCTTTCTAAATTCCCTTATAACTCTAAAATTGCTATATTCTATAATGAAGCCCACACAATGTTTATAAAACCATAAATTTACCGCCAAATTTGCAACAAAAGCAGTCAAAATATAATGAATGCCAAATAATGAGAAACCATTGAAAAATGTTCCAAGCGATAATCCTATTACCAAGGATAATTATGAAAATTTGATTAAAATCGTCGAATTAGCGAAGAAGCCAGCGCCGGATATTTTTTGAATAAATGTGCGGTTAGGCAATTGGAATTTTATGCTGGATTTGTTTTTTCAATTTAGTTACTTCTATGTGACTTAAATCACCGCAGGAGGCTTTTTTTTCAAATCAAAAAAAAATTATGTTTCATTTTTCGATTTTAATAGATGGCAAAAAGTGTTTATATTTATTATTATGTTTTGGCGGAATTTTAATTGGTTTTGGCCAATACGGGGGGAAGGGATGTGGCAAAGTGAGCGTAACCTTGTCCGCCCACAACCACGCCCCTAACCGGAAACGGCAATAGCAAATGGCAATCATTGACACGTGCATACAGTTTTTCGGCTTTCCATTTGCACGAATTTCAAATCCTCCACAAACACAAAAATGTACGAAAATACAAGAGCATGCGAACAAACACAAGCACATGTGTCGAATAAAGCATATTTGAAATTCTGCATTTTTGTTGAATTTCAATTAAAAGCCTTGATTTTGATTGTAACCTTGCGAACATGCTGGGAAAAGGCCAGTATTTTGTAGAAACAGAGTCACAGAGAAAAACTTAAGGGGTTTAGTATCATATAATTCAAGCATTTAAGTTTTTGTAAAATTTAATAATATATTCAATCCTATCAAAGAAAATTTCATTAATATTTAATACCATAAATAATATTTTAAAATTTGTAGCATTTATTTCCTCTGTGTAGATCTGAAAATATTATTGGGGTCATTTGAGAGGCTCTGTCTACGGTTGAGCTTGTTCCACAAAGCAAATGTAAAATTGCTGGCTGAGGAATTGTGTTAAAAACGAATTTGCATTAATTTCAGTTTCCACTTTTTGTTTCGTCCTTTGGCTCCTGTTTTCGGTTTACAATAATTGTATATATCCCATCAACTTGTCGTGTTCACCTTTGCCGGAGCCATTGCTTTTTGCCCCAAAGGCGGGCGGAAGCAATCGGGCCCAAAAGTGGCCGGGATGGGGGCCGGGCAGAGAAAAGGAAAATTAAATTGAAAATCCATCGAAGCCGAATGTGGAATTAAAATTGAATTTTCACCTACGACGACGACTACGATGAAGGACGTCGGATGGAAGGATCAAACGAAAGGAAACGGAATGAATCGAAATGAATCGAGACGAAGCAGGAAGAATAAAAACAATTAAAATTAAACAATTTATTTATTTTGAATTATGGCTCCCCTCGACAACTTCTGCTTCTGGCAGCCTGAGCTTGGGAGCCTGATATTGCCTGAAATATTGTACCGAAAAATGGGGAAAAATGCATTTGTCAAATTGATTGTGAAGTGAGCAACTCAATTTAAAGACATTCCTGCTTGAAGCCAAAAAAATTAAGAAAAAAAACATGAATCTGCCACAAATATTTGTCAAAGCAATGCAAGTCCGAAATGAAAGTGGTATTTTGCCTCCGGGGCGTCATATGATGATTATACAAATGGAAAACTTAGATGGAACTTAGAGGAGGACGGGGCCATAAATCCTCCACCGTACTCCGCCCGAGTCATTAACCTTGTGTCGGAGGTTTGGAAAGCAAAAAGCCCGGAGTCTGAGTGCCGGAGATTAGGCTGATAATTTATTCAGGCTGCGGCCCAACTAATCTCCCACTGTCAGTGACTCTAATCATTCAATGAGATAAAAGCAAATACACAGATATTACATAGAGGAGTATTAGACAAACATACATCAGAATTGCGGCCGACTTCTTTTCCAATTTGCGGCTTGGCGGCACTGACTAGAGATGGCAGCGTGACCACTATCCAAACTGACAGGCAGAAAATCGAAGGTCCAGGGGCTCACATCAAGTGTCAGTCCAAGAAATGGCAGACAACTTGACAAGCTGAGAAAGATTCTTGTTACGAAAGCTGTACATTCAATATACTTTTAGAGATCATCCTTATATTTCAAAGTATTAAATACATAAATGCCTCAAAGCTTATGTGAACAGCAAAATCTATAGCAAGAGTTCTTCGACATCTTATCCCAGCTCATCTTGTTTCTAATAAGCTTTTGCAGAGATGCTCGAAAGTCCTCACGTTATCATCCGAAGAGACGTGAATTTTTGATGCCCTCTAGGCCAAAAGTGGGGATGAGAGGAATATAAGTTCACAAACAGAAAACCAAATTTTCCCACACACTGGGCCAACTTTTGCATTTGGCAAAGGGCCTGGATAGCCAGATAGCCGGATAAAGGGGGCGGTAATCTGGCAGTGCGTGTATCTCTGAGTAGGAGTATCTTTGGGCTGTTTTAGGGGGTGTAACTTTGGTTTATTTTGGGCATTCGGCTGTGACGTGAGTGGATTCGTGTCCTGTTCCAGGACCAGGACCACATCCACACGTTCATGGTCAAGCAGGCAGAGTGCGTGCTGGAAAACAATTTAATTAATTCCAGATTTGCGCGGAATTTTTCACGAATGCCACGATGCCGGCAATCTGTAAATGGCATATACCTACTGGGGTATGGGTCTGAGAGGTGGGGACACACTAGTCAATGCCAAAAATTCAGCCATTCGCACGTACTATTTTTACTATTTATTTGTTTCCCACTTCCACTTACCCTATCTCTGTATTTTCATCTCTTTTTCGGTACTCAATTCTTGGCTCTCCTGTTTCCTGTACTTCCTACTTGCTTCCTGTTTCCCAGCCGGCCAGCTACGGTAAGAAGAACGGGATGTGGTATGCATCGCCTGGAAATCAGGGCTGGGGCTCCAAGCCCGCCAGTCGGAAGCCCTCAATAATGGAAGCGGATTTGGGCACATTATCGACCACATCAGGCTCGATAAAACGCAGCGCCGGCCGTGTGATACGCATCATCAATAATTTGGATCACTCGGTGCAGGTGAGTTTCAGTTTCGAATGCAGATGAGTATAATATTCTGCCTCACCCTTCCATCCCATCCGTCCATCCATCCTCCATTCTATATTTATTGTTTCAGCCTGCCCACGTCATCAACAATGCACAAAAATATTTTTGAGGGGGTTGAGAGGTTGCACTCTGTGCAATTTCCACAACCATCCATGAGCACCTCCATCCGTTGCACCTTCATACACCTCCGTGCACCCGCTATGGTAGATTTTCGCAACGTTTGCGGAGAATTCGGTGGGCATTTGCGCTATTTTCGCAATTTCGTTTGTATTTGCAACCAACGGCGAACCAGCAACCAGGCAGCGATGCGTTGTGCAAATGTTTTAATTGCCGCGATTAAAGCGCGCATCGTTCTGCAATATTTATGTAAATTTATGTTTGACTATTGCATTAGAGGCACACCCTGAATACTACCAGTGCTACGTAGTACGTACTACCAGTTGGGGCCAACAACAGCCAATAAAGTTTATTGAAATTTATGCAAAGTGCTCGATGAAATATGCCAAAGCTGGCTAAATATTTCGCGAGTAAATATTAAAAAATACATATTTATTTGTTTGTGATTAAATATTTAAAGGAGATATGCGAAAAGCCTTCTGCACATATTGGTATTCATATAAGAGTTTATATAACTGGGATGCACCACCTGACCTCACCGACTGACCTCTGAATTCATTTTGTCGCGCATTTACTTTTCCGCTTCGCTGGTGGATCGCCGAACAAAAAAAAAATTGATTTCAACTCCGAATTGAGAGCCAAACCGATTCGCTTTTATTTGTATAAATATTTGCCATCAATATTTTATGGTCAGTGGAGTTTATTTATTTTTTTAGCTGTCCGTTTTTTTTCTGGCAGCTCTCCCCATCCCCTCGTCTGAGTGGAAAAGCCTCAACAGCCGCCCATGACCCGACTGACTTAACTGTCATTAAGGGATCCGGCGCATAAATAATTTGACAATTTATTTTACTCATCCCGCGACGCAATAAAACCACTTTGATGTGTTTTTCAGCACAGAATTCTTGGATCAGCCTCCCGGGGGCCATCATTAGTTGCGGTCGCCCGTTTTTCAAATGCAATTCCTCTGTCATATTTTTTTTCCATTCGCCATTTGAATGCGCAATTATAATTCACGATTTTATTTATGCATTTTCCATAGCAGTGTCCCAAGTGCAGTGATTAAAATTTAATGGCTATACTAAACCAAAAAAAAAAACAAAAACCCCGTCCAATAAGAGCTCCAAACAGAAGTTTGGCATTAACCTTTGCCTACTTTCGGGGGCTGAACTCTCGCCACCAGCAATCATATGGAAAATCAATTGTCTGCAATTTGTATTTTATAGTATGCAGCTCGAGGGGAGGTGGCTCGGCTTGGCCAACAAAAAATCCCCGAAGTAGCAACAAAATTGAAGCCACGGTCAATTTGGTAATTTCCGCTGACATACAAAAAATGCCAAGAAACAGAGCAGCCAACCAAGTATTGCCAAAAAAATAATATATGGCTTTAAAAAAATAGTAAAGAAATCGAAAATAATAATACTCTATTAAAAAGAGTATTCAATAAAATGTAAGGGAACTAGGGACCTCTCTCATATAAAATGTTTGAAACATAAGAGTGTCCTTCTATAAACTTTACCAAACTCCATTCCAAAACTTATATTACCCTTTCCAAGAGTATAGGGCCAGAAAAATGGCAGGCAAAAAGTTTCTGTATTCAGGTGTTTGGTCCCATAACTCTTTCCCGCTCCCGCACTCCCATAATTTATGTTATTATTACGAAAATGCCTTTAAAATATGAATTGGCTTCGGCACTATAAACGTACCATTGCCACCACGCCTGGCCACCACCCTCTTCCCCTGACCGTTGTCGTAGTAACGTTTTATGGTAATTTTCCTAAGTGCAAGTAACATTTTTGTAGCCACTGTTGTTTTTCCAACTTGCTGTTTTATTTCATTTTCCTTTTGCCTTTCCAGTTGCCGGTGTTTCAGGTGATGGGGCATTCGTGCAGTTTTATGAATCAAAATACATTACGCTGTGTGGGCGTATCGGCACCTTTCAGCACGTGGGCCGGGCCGGGCATTTTGTTATTCTGTTGTGCCTGCAACCTTGAAGAAGGCCGCGCCTGATCGGGCCAATTAGCGGCAGGCAAGCCAAATCCATGACAGGTACTTTTCGGGGCTTTGGCCGTCGCCGGTTGTCGGTTGCCAGTCGCCGTCTGCCGGAGATGTTTTTTGGCCAGACCAAAATCGAATTTCATTAATGGCTAAGACAATGGGCCAGAGCAAGCCCTTTTGGCGCGCCAGGTTTTTCCAATTTTTCCCTCACCGCTCTCTGCCCTCCCATTTATTAGACACACTTAATGGAGTTTGCAATGCAAATTCGACCAAAGTACAACCGACAACAAAAGCGAAAGAGGAAATTGTAGTAGTCGTAGTGGTTGTTGCTGCTGCCGTTGAACCGAACTCTGCACGCGCCCATTGACCAAGGCCAAGGACATGTCGACCGACCGACAAACACCGACCGAAGTCCTGGCGAAAATAAATGTATGTGCTCTGGTACTCCGAGCATGGAGCCCCCAAAGTATGGGGTGCTGACGCCGATTGCATTACACGTACATCCCCCGGTGATCCGTTTCCACACCCTTTTTTAGGGCACTGTTGTACAAAAATTTGACTAGAAATTGAACTATAAAATATATGTCTTTTCTATAAGGGTACTCTTCAGTAAAATCGTATAAATAATATTGTAGATATATAGACCTTTAACAAGGAAAAAGAGTTTAGGAAAAGAGATCCTATTTAAAAGAGTTTCCTTGTTAGTGACTTCTTAAGGTTTTCAATTTGAAAGGCTCGTCTAAAGTATTTAAGAATAAATAGCATAATGATAAAACTTCTCAAAAAATATTAAAAAATTAAAACATCCATTTAAATTACATCATACATAATCATAATAATAATGCATAATCAAAAGACACTCACTATACTTCCTTGTCGGGCAGTGTCTCTGTGTTTTGGCCCTTGTCTGCGTGGTCTCCCTTGTTTGTGTTTATTTGTTTTGTTTGTGTCTGGCCCAAACACACACACTTCCACTTCCACTTCCATAGAGAGAGAGTAGAAAACGTCTATATCTATGGCTATATCAAGTGGCCCGACTGCCTCCGTTGGCTCTTCGTTCGGGTAATGCAATTGAAAGCCACAATAAATGGCTATGCATAATGGCATGCTACTCAATATTGGCGGGACTATGTCGCCGTTTCCACTCTGCTCCCTCTGCTCCATTCTAGCTTGAGTATATAGATACGTATATCACTCGATATTGGTAGGGCATTTGGGCAAACTAAAGTGCAACGTGTCGCATGGCATTTTGTTGTCGCTGCCACGTTGTGACTTTGTCAACTTGCAGCTTACGTGTTTGACGCACCAGTGGAAACTTTGGCCAGTCCTTTGGATATTTTGTGTTTATGAACACATACGAGCGCTCTTGTTTGAGCGATCTGCATATCGGTTCATTTTTTCCATAACGTATACGCCCCGTGGCCATTGAGACAGCAAAGCAGCCTCACCTGACTCTGCCAGTTTCTTTGACCTCCGCTGCATGTGTGCTTTCCACGAAGCCAAACACAAAAAGGAGGAGCTGCAAGCAAATAAAAAAGAGGGCTAAGAAAAATGGTAAAAAACAGCGATACACTCTACGAAACAACTACTAGAGATATCTGAAAGAATTCATATTTAAGATCCCTATGAAACATAATAATTGTTTGCTATTCACTTGAGACCCAATCATTATTTTGTATTATGCAATAATCCTGCAAGTTTTCAACCATTTAAGCCATACAATATCCTTGTGTTGACGTGTTTTTCATTTAAATTACTTGTGTTCCCTTTTATGCAACTCTCAACGAACGAGCGTTGACGACAATAAGGACGACAGCTCCTGCAGTTTAACGTCTTTTGTTTTATGCATGTTTGTATTTTATTGGAATTCCTTTGTGTGTCTGAAGGAACACAAAAAAATAAAGAGTGCACAAGGAGTTGCCGCAAACGAAAATATTTGGAAAATTTGCATGGTTTTGACGTCACCAAGATTAAATCAACCATGCAACGGCCGAGCGATTGAATTCTAGAAGGAAAAAAATAAAAATGAAAAAACCTACTAGTGGCAGGGACAGGCAGGAAGAAATTCACAGACGAGACGAGCAATGTTGAAAATTTAAATCACACACTCACACACGCACACCCAGGCAAGGACTGTCTGTGCAGGACGCAGGACGAGTTCCTGGCCAGTTCCTTCCGGCAGATGGCAGGTCCTACCGAAAACTGCACGTAATTGGCTTAACAAACGCCAATTGTTTGGGGCCACCTGATTGGAGCTGGGCAACGCACCCGATAATGTAATTATTTGCTCACATAATTATATTTGTTTATAGTCCATGTCGCAGCCACATCCACATCCATATCCACATCCACAGCTTCATATGCATGACGCCTCATCATGGCATCTTTGGAATGGCTCCCATGTGTCTCTGTGTTGGTGTCTACGTATACATTAACTCCCTCACACACACACACACACACACGATGGATAACAAAAAGTGGACATCCGAGGGACATGAGGGACAAGTTCATGCATAATTTATGGCATAGACATCGACAGTTTGCAGCAGTTCGAGTACGAAATGCATTGCACTAAATTATTAAAAGCATCTTTTCAGCTTCTGTCCTGTCAATTAATTTTCCAGTAAATTAAGTGACAGTCGATTGGGCTGGCGAAAGAAAAGTTTAGCAAAACTTTACCCACATCCAATGCCAATAATTTGCCTAATGGATATTTGCTCTATCAACATTATTATTTTCGGTTCAAAGGCAACTTTAAATTCAAGCTAAAAGTTAAATCCTTTCTTTTCAAAGTATACATTCAAGGAGTTCTCACAATTTTGACGAAAACGTTGCTCTTCCATCACCATTTGAATTTGAAAAACATTTTTGCCGGACAATTGCCCGGTCCCAGGTGTTACGCTTTGATAAACCATAAATAAATTGTGATAAATAGAGGCCGAAACCATGGGGTCCGCTCCGGTCGCCACCTGAACCAGTTCGTCTAACGACCCATAAAGGACATGCGTTTCGGTAGTCGGTACGGTCGTCACTCTAAATCAAATGGCTAACCATAAAAAAGGTGAAAAAAAAGGCAACGAAACACACAAATATGCGATCAAGTTGAAAGCACAATGGGTTTTGAAAAATCGTCTAACTAGATTAGAAAAGGGTGGTACTACTCCCTGAAATTAAAACCCCTCGAAAATAAAATCATGAACTGTCACCAAAAAACTTTCTCTGTAACAGATAGTTGGTGGCCTACTTCGATGATAATTATAATTGATTCACAAATTTACCAAAAAAAACCAAATGAAAAAGTTTTTAATATTTTGTCAAGCCTAACGAGAAGTCAAATTTCAAAAAAACTTTTTCGCCAAAAACTTCAAAATGAGCTGGATAAATGCGTGTTGGCCGGTAGACTGGGCCAGTCCAGTCCACAAGAGGGCCAAAAGTTATAACCTGCAGCTTTTTTTTCTCTGTTTGCCGGCAATCAGTCGTCGGACTTGGGCGGGAAATTAAGTGGCAACGGTGATGCGCGGGGAAAACCACTCAACACGGACATAAAACCATTAAAACGACGCCTTTTTCGAAGCCAAACTAAATACATAAATTAAACTGAGCTTGCGTCCAGACAACGGCGAAAGTTTATCGTTGTCGTCCTGTTGGTCTTGCTCCTTTCTATATTTTTTTTTTGTTTTTTTTTTTTGTCTGGCAAACTGCTTTAATTTTATGCGTTAGAGAGAGTCCTTAGAATAAGGAATGCGATGATGCCGCCTGGATGGGAGACAAATTCTGCTTTAACACGCGTGAATGACTGTTATCTGGGGGCCGCTGAAGGTCATTAAAACTGGAGTGTTCCACTCGAAAAATAAGCAGCCAGAGCAGAGAAGCCAAAGTCAAGCGCCAACAGCCACCAGCCAGCAGCCACCAGCCACAGGAACAAATGCAACAAAGCGTGGCCTTCATTGTGGGTGGCTTTTGGGCGGTCGGGGCTGGTTCACCCAATTATGAGCGCAAAAGCTCAAGTGCAACAACAACAGCTACAATGGGGCAGAGGCAAACAATGCCGACGCTTCGTACTGATGCCGCCAACAAATAAAATGTATTAAGCATTAAAATAAAACTCAAACTGGGTCACAAGCTCGATCAAAGGCAAGTGGCGGAGGATGCGGCCAGGACGGAGGACTAGGACTAGGACGAGGACGAGGACGCGACTCGACGACAACATATAATTATAAGCATTAGAGGGCAAAAATTGGCGAGGGATGCGCGGGGCGAATTTGTTAAGGGGAAAGCCCTGAACGGAAGTTGCGTGCCATGACTAAATTTTTGACCGCAGGTCAAGTAAAATGTGTTGAAAAGGCCCCTGGCTCGTGTATGGTATATTCTGGGCCAGACTAATTACCCGTCCAGATTTAACACGTGATTCCGATTCCAGCCAACAACCTTATACAAATCTATATACTCATGCAACATCACCTTCCCTCGTTTCAGTGTCGCGTTTTGTTGAACCTACGCACCTCGCAGCCGTTCGAGGAAGTGCTCGAGGATTTGGGTCAAGTGCTGAAAATTAACGGAGCAAAGAAAATGTACACAGGCACTGGCCAGGAGGTACGTAAGAATCCAAGACCCTGGGGTGTGGGTGGCTAGTGTTTTGGCCGACCTTGACACAACTTAATAACTTAATGCAGAGCCAAACTTGGCCGACTTGTAAAATGATTTGACAAATTGGCTTAACCGGAACCCTGGCATGAGTGAGGAAAACCCAAGTCCAGCCATTACTTTCTTATATTACTATATTAGCTTTACACTTTCCCTAATTGTCGGGTCTTTTAAAATAATCCTTTTTCTAATGTCTTCCCCCAAAAGGTTCGCAGTTTCTCGCAGTTGAGAAACGAGTTCGCCGACGTGGACACCTTCTACTTGGCCACGGGAACGGCCCTCATCGCCGGCTCGCCCATCCGGCGCTCTCGCTCCCGCCCCTCTGTGGTGGCCGCCGCACCCATACTGCCCACGGACGAGCTGCCCAAGGTGCCGTTGCGCGGCGCCCGGCCCAGGAGCAAGAGCCGGCCAAGGATACTGTACGCGCCGGAGAGCGAGATCCTGCGACCGAACGGAGAGTACACCATGCTCGATATTATGAAAGAAGAGCCCACCAAAGTCACCATCCGGGGGCTGAGGCGCACCTTCTATCCGCCCGTACACCATGCCCCGGCGGACAACTCCCCGCCGGACAAAAAACTGCAGCTTCAATGGGTGTAAGTAGCTTGGAAGAGTTTTATATCTAGGTAAATCTTTACGGAGAATCCTTATATGCCTTTTCCAGCCATGGATACCGCGGCATTGATGCCCGGCGTAATCTCTGGGTTCTGCCCTCGGGAGAGCTGCTCTACTATGTGGCCGCCGTGGCTGTGCTTTTCGATCGGGATGAAGATGCCCAGAGGCACTACACAGGACACACCGAGGATATTATGTGGTTAGTATTTCCCCTTAATCTTAAATTCAGTTAATTCATCTTGAATATCCTTCCCAGCATGGACGTTCATCCCTCTAGGGAGCTGGTGGCCTCGGGACAGAAGGCTGGACGAGATCGCAAATCGCAGGCACACGTTCGCATCTGGAGCACCGAGTCCCTGCAGACCCTTTACGTTTTCGGGATGGGTGAGCTGGACAGCGGGGTGACCGCCGTGGCCTTCTCGCAATTGGTAAATGTCACCCTCGGGATAAGGGTCTGCTAATTACGGAGTAACTATCCCAAATCCCCTTTCAGAATGGCGGCAGCTACATCCTGGCCGTGGACAGTGGCCGTGAAAGTATCCTGTCCGTATGGCAATGGCAGTGGGGTCACCTGCTGGGCAAAGTGGCCGTAAGTTGCTTGTCTAATCCCAACTGCTTAGGACTTGGGCCTAATCCCAGTCTCTGACCCAATTACAGACCCTGCAGGAGGGATTGTCGGGGGCGGCGTTCCACCCGCTGGACGACAACCTCATCATCACCCATGGTCGTGGGCACCTGGCCTTCTGGCACCGGCGCAAGGATGGCTTCTTCGAGCGCACAGACATCGTTAAGCAACCGTCGCGGTCCCATGTCACCAGCGTGCAGTTCGAGCCGGACGGAGATGTAATAACGGCGGACTCGGATGGCTTCATTACCATCTATTCGGTGGACTCCGACGGGGCCTATTTCGTCCGCACGGAGTTCGAGGCCCACAACAAGGGCATCGGGTGCCTCATCATGCTGGGCGAGGGCACCCTGCTCTCGGGCGGAGAGAAGGATCGCAAGATTGCAGCCTGGGACTCCCTGCAGAACTACAAGAAGATAGCCGATACTAAGGTGAGAGGATTTTATGAGGAGTTTTATTTATCCTGAATCCTTAAACTTTATCCTGCCCAGCTCCCCGAAGCCGCTGGCGGCGTGAGGACCATCTACCCGCAGCGTCCGGGTCGCAATGACGGCAACATCTATGTGGGCACCACGCGAAACAACATCCTGGAGGGCTCCCTGCAGCGCCGCTTCACCCAGGTGGTCTTTGGCCACGGGCGACAGCTCTGGGGCTTGGCCGCCCATCCGGATGACGAGCTGTACGCCACAGCCGGGCACGACAAGCACGTGGCCCTCTGGCGGAAGAACAAACTGATCTGGACCATCCAGACGGGCTACGAGTGCGTGGCCCTGGCATTCCATCCCTTTGGCACTCTGGCTGCTGGCAGCACCGAGGGCCACCTGCTTGTCATCAACTGCGAGAACGGAGCGGTCATGTTGACGCTGCGCGTCTGCGGATCGCCCATTAACTGTGTGGCCTACAACCAGGGTAGGATCTTAGTCTAATCCTTCTTCCATCAAAATTATATCTCCCGTATTACCTTTTAGTTGGCGATATGATCGCCATGGGCTCGCAGAATGGCAGCATTTATCTCTTTCGGGTTTCGCGGGATGGCTTCTCCTACAAGAAGGTCAACAAAATCCGCGGCTCCCAGCCGCTGACCCATCTGGACTGGAGCATGGACGGCAACTTTGTCCAAACGGTGACCATTGATTTTGATCTGCTCTTCTGGGACGCCAAGTCGCTGTCCCCGGAACGCAGTCCGATTGCCATGAAGGATGTCAAGTGGCTGACCAACAACTGCACCGTGGGCTTCCTGGTGGCGGGTCAGTGGAGCAATCGCTACTACAGCGGCACCAACACCATCGTGGCAACCTGCAGTCGTTCCGCGGGTCATGATATGCTGGCCTCCGGGGATGCCGAGGGATACTTGAGATTATTCAGGTGAGGAATGATATTCTAATTAAAGGAATACAAATTATCATGTACGTTTCCAGATACCCCTGTATCTCACCCCGCGCCGAGTTCCACGAATCAAAGGTGTACTCCGGAATGTTAGCCTGCGTCCGGTTCCTGTGCGGCGATCACACGCTAATCACCGTGGGCGGCACAGACGCTTCCCTGATGGTGTGGGACATTGTCGAGGAATAGCTGAAATGGCCACCGTGGCACCGCAACGCCGCCCAGTACGAGGCAGGCTACTCGGACTACTGGCACCGTCGCGCCTCCAGGGTCTCATCGACGATCCTCGACAGCGATTCGGTGGACTATCAGTGATAGCCGAGCGACCTGAGACTCCGACTGGGCAGTGACCTGCTTGCTAGACTCAGACGAACAACAATTGGCCAGCGTTCAGTTTTTGGTTTTGTTAGATGAACGAAATATTGATATTAGATAATTGCACCGAATACGAAGGAAATTCAACATTTTTGAGACGTTTTTTGAGAAATGAGGAAAACCCGCACCAGCAAATCAAGCACACTAGCAATCGAATCCAATCCAAAAAGTCGGCTTCCACTCCGAAATTCAATCTTCCGTTCCGGTCTTGCCATTTGTATTTCATAGATATAACCTATTTGTTCGAACTAACTCTCAATGCCACTGGTGGATCTATAACTACTCAACAACTCTATATACAAGCAGCCTATGCAGACAGCGTAGAAATACTTCATCTTCCAGAATGCTGTCAGCAATCTTCCCGAACAAGCCCAGTAACTCTGACAGAGAGCAGATGACAAACAGACATACTTACATCTCACGCAGAATCACGAACACGAAATAACGAAACCCAAGTGCACTTCCAACATACATATATACTTATATATCGAATGTGTATTGTTATAGCAAATTTTATTATAAGCGTTGAAATAAATAAACAGTTTGAAACAGAACCAAAAGTGCGGGCTTCTTACTAGTTTCGGCAGAGTGGCAACGTCTGGGAAAGTGTCTCTGCCAGCCACTTGGTGGCGCCACATAACACATTTTAAGCATTTATTAAACCCAAAAATTAGGTTTCTTTAAAAACTATTTATCAAAATAACTATTAAGTAAAAATATAGGGAGGCATTCAAGAAACCCCATGGATATTATTTTCAATTTCGTTTGGTAACAATTTATGATCTTATTTAATAAATATTTCTAAAAATAAACATTTGTTTTTTTTTTAATTTAATACATACATTTTACAAAAATTCTTGGCAATAATTTTATTCTAACAGGAAATAAGTTAAGGCTGGACCACTTTTAGATAGATGAAAAAATATAATAAGTGAAAAAAAAAAAAGGGAAACCTTGAAGGATCCTTCAGGATTAGCCATAGGTTGGAAAAAATTACAAAAAAAATAGAAAAAAATGGGAAATAAGTTTTAAGGCTAAACAACTTTCAAAAAATTAGATAAGTGAAAAAATATAAAAAGGGAGACTTTGAGGGATCAATTGGATAAGCCATGGGTTGGAAAAAAGGACCCTAAGTACAACATTCAACAACAAAAAAAAATATATAAAAAAAATGTCATGCCACAAGAAAATATATAAATATTAAAATAAATTAGAAGAAATAAACGGAAATCAGCTTGAACCGAATAATGGTTATAGTTTAAATAACTATTAGACCCCTTAGTGGAGCAATCCTGGTAACATTCATGTGTTGGGAAAAACCCTTAGTGCTTAATAACGAGTACGTAATAAAAGAAAATAGATAATGGCTATACAAAAGTAAATTTCAGAAAAAATATATCAAAATAATAAACACATTTAGAACCAATAGAAGAACTCTGCTCTCAGAAAATAAAACAAAAAAAACATGGTCCTATAAGTGCCGATGAACCTGTTAGGTATCATAAGATTCAAGAGTTAAAATAAGGAATATTTATCGTATTTATTATTTTTTGCACAAAAATTAAAAAGAAGAACACCTGATGGTGTGTCCGGTTTTCAATCATAGCGAATGCAAAATGGCGCATAATAAAAAAAGAAATAAAAAAAGAATTTGTTGAGAACACAAAAAAATATATTTCAGAAAAAAATCAAAATAATCAACTACAAGGATCGTTATAAGAACTCAGCAATTAGGCATCATAAGATTCACGAGTTAAAATAAGGAACACTCATCGTATGTATTATTTTTTGCACAAAAATTAAGAAGAAAAACACCTGGTGGTGTGTCCGGTTTTCAATCATAGCGAATGCAAAATGGCGCATAATAAAAAAAGATATAAAAAAAGAATTTGTTGAGAACACAAAAAAATATATTTCAGAAAAAAATCAAAATAATCAACTACAAGGATCGTTATAAGAACTCAGCAATTAGGCATCATAAGATTCACGAGTTAAAATAAGGAACACTCATCGTATTTATTATTTTTTTTGCACAAAAATTAAGAAGAAAAACACCTGGTGGTGTGTCCGGTTTTCAATCATAGCGAATGCAAAATGGCGCATAATAAAAAAAGAAATAAAAAAAGAATTTGTTGAGAACACAAAAAAATAAATTTCAGAAAAAACAAATCAAAATAATCAACTACAAGGATCACTATAAGAACTCAGCTCTCAGAAAATAAATCTAAAAAACTGGTCCAATTAGGCATCATAAGATTCACGAGTTAAAATAGGGAAGATTTATCGAATTTATTATTTTTTGCACAAAAATTAAGACGAAGAACACCTGGTGGTGTGTCCGGTTTTCAATCATAGCGAATGCAAAATGGCGCATAATAAAAAAAGAAATAAAAAAAGAATTGGTTGAGAACACAAAAAAATATATTTCAGAAAAAAATCAAAATAATCAACTACAAGGATCGTTATAAGAACTCAGCAATTAGGCATCATAAGATTCACGAGTTAAAATAAGGAACACTCATCGTATTTATTATTTTTTTGCACAAAAATTAAGAAGAAAAACACCTGGTGGTGTGTCCGGTTTTCAATCATAGCGAATGCAAAATGGCGCATAATAAAAAAAGAAATAAAAAAAGAATTTGTTGAGAACACAAAAAAATATATTTCAGAAAAAAATCAAAATAATCAACTACAAGGATCGTTATAAGAACTCAGCAATTAGGCATCATAAGATTCACGAGTTAAAATAAGGAACACTCATCGTATTTATTATTTTTTTGCACAAAAATTAAGAAGAAAAACACCTGGTGGTGTGTCCGGTTTTCAATCATAGCGAATGCAAAATGGCGCATAATAAAAAAAAAAAAAAAAAGAATTTGTTGAGAACACAAAAAGTATATTTCAGAAAAAAATCAAAATAATCAACTACAAGGATCGTTATAAGAACTCAGCAATTAGGCATCATAAGATTCACGAGTTAAAATAAGGAACACTCATCGTATTTATTATTTTTTTTGCACAAAAATTAAGAAGAAAAACACCTGGTGGTGTGTCCGGTTTTCAATCATAGCGAATGCAAAATGGCGCATAATAAAAAAAGAAATAAAAAAAGAATTTGTTGAGAACACAAAAAAATATATTTTAGAAAAAAATCAAAATAATCAACTACAAGGATCGTTATAAGAACTCAGCAATTAGGCATCATAAGATTCACGAGTTAAAATAAGGAACACTCATCGTATTTATTATTTTTTGCACAAAAATTAAGAAGAAAAACACCTGGTGGTGTGTCCGGTTTTCAATCATAGCGAATGCAAAATGGCGCATAATAAAAAAAGAAATAAAAAAAGAATTTGTTGAGAACACAAAAAAATATATTTCAGAAAAAAATCAAAATAATCAACTACAAGGATCGTTATAAGAACTCAGCAATTAGGCATCATAAGATTCACGAGTTAAAATAAGGAACACTGGTGGTGTGTCCGGTTTTCAATCATAGCGAATGCAAAATGGCGCATAATAAAAAAAGAAATAAAAAATGAATTTGTTGAGAACACAAAAAAATAAATTTCAGAAAAAACAAATCAAAATAATCAACTACAAGGATCACTATAAGAACTCAGCTCTCAGAAAATAAATCTAAAAAACTGGTCCAATGAGGCATCATAAGATTCACGAGTTAAAATAGGGAACACTCATGGAATTTATTATTTTTTGCACAAAAATTAAGAAGAAGAACACCTGATGGTGTGTCCGGTTTTCAATTATAGCGAATGCAAAATGACGCATAATAAAAAAGAAATAAAAAAAGAATTTGTTGAGAACACAAAAAATATATTTCAGAAAAAATAAATCAAAATAATAAACTACAAGGGTCACTATAAAAACTCAGCTCTCAGAAAATAAATCTAAAAACCTGGTCCAATTAGGCATCATAAGATTCACGAGTTAAAATAAGGAATATTAATCGAATTTATTATTTTTTGCACCAAAATTAAGAAGAAGAACACCTGATGGTGTGTCCGGTTTTCAATTATAGCGAATGCAAAATGGCGCATAATAAAAAAAGAAATAAAAAAGAATTTGTTGAGAACACAAAAAAATATATTTCAGAAAAAACAAATCAAAATAATCAACTACAAGGATCGTTATAAGAACTCAGCTCTGAGAAAATAAATTTAAAAAACTGGTCCAATTAGGCATCATAAGATGCACGAGTTAAAATAAAGAATATTCATCGTATTTATTATTTTTTGCACAAACATTAAGAAGAAAATCTGATGGTGTGTCCTGTTTTCAATTATAGCGAATGCAAAATGGCGCATAATAAAAAAAAGAAATAAAAAAAGAATTTGTTGAGAACACAAAAAAATATATTTCAGAAAAAACAAATCAAAATAATCAACTACAAGGATCGATATAAGAACTCAGCTCTAAGAAACTAAATCTAAAAACCTGGTCCAATTAGGCATCATAAGATTCACGAGTTAAAATAAGGAATATTCATCGTATTTACTATTTTTTGCACAAAAATTATGAAGAACACCTGATGGTGTGTCCGGTTTTCAATCATAGCGAATGCAAGATGGCGCGTAATAAAAAAAAGAATTTGTTGAGAACACAAAAAAATATATTTCAGAAAAAACAAATCAAAATAATCAACTACAAGGATCGTTATAAGAACTCAGCTCTCAGAAAATAAATTTAAAAAACTGGTCCAATTAGGCATCATAAGATGCACGAGTTAAAATAAGGAATATTTGTTATTTTTTGCACAAAAATTAAGAAGAAGAACACCTGATGGTGTGTCCGGTTTTCAATTATAGCGAATGGAAAATGGCGCATAATAAAAAAAAAGAAATAAAAAAGAATTTGTTGAGAACACAAAAAAATATATTTCAGAAAAAAATCAAAATAATCAACTACAAGGATCACTATAAGAACTCAGCTCTCAGAAAATAAATCTAAAAAACTGGTCCAATTAGGCATCATAAGATTCACGAGTTAAAATAGGGAACACTCATGGAATTTATTATTTTTTGCACAAAAATTAAGAAGAAGAACACCTGATGGTGTGTCCGGTTTTCAATTATAGCGAATGCAAAATGACGCATAATAAAAAAAGAAATAAAAAAAAGAATTTGTTGAGAACACAAAAAAATATATTTCAGAAAAAATAAATCAAAATAATAAACTACAAGGGTCACTATAAAAACTCAGCTCTCAGAAAATAAATCTAAAAACCTGGTCCAATTAGGCATCATAAGATTCACGAGTTAAAATAAGGAATATTAATCGAATTTATTATTTTTTGCACCAAAATTAAGAAGAAGAACACCTGATGGTGTGTCCGGTTTTCAATTATAGCGAATGCAAAATGGCGCATAATAAAAAAAGAAATAAAAAAGAATTTGTTGAGAACACAAAAAAATATATTTCAGAAAAAACAAATCAAAATAATCAACTACAAGGATCGTTATAAGAACTCAGCTCTCAGAAAATAAATTTAAAAAACTGGTCCAATTAGGCATCATAAGATTCACGAGTTAAAATAAGGAATATTTGTTATTTTTTGCACAAAAATTAAGAAGAAGAACACCTGATGGTGTGTCCGGTTTTCAATCATAGCGAATGCAAAATGGCGCATAATAAAAAAAAAAATAAAAAAGAATTTGTTGAGAACACAAAAAAATATATTTCAGAAAAAACAAATCAAAATAATCAACTACAAGGATCGTTATAAGAACTCAGCTCTGAGAAAATAAATTTAAAAAACTGGTCCAATTAGGCATCATAAGATGCACGAGTTAAAATAAAGAATATTCATCGTATTTATTATTTTTTGCACAAAAAATAAGAAGAACACCTGATGGTGTGTCCGGTTTTCAATCATAGCGAATGCAAAATAATAATAAAAATAATTAAAAGGGAATTTTTTCCTTTAAGAAAATAACCAGTAAAATAAAATAAGAAGAAACAAAAAAAAATAAAATAAAGAGATGTTCACGACTCGAAAGTCGAAATTGACTGACTGGAAATGTCCGAGACGCCACTATTTATACAAAAACTTTCAACTTTCCTTTGAAAATCTAAAATGGCAATGGTTGCTTTGTTAACCCTTAGCCTGAAGTAAAAATAAGTGGGACCATTCAATTTTGTTTTGGTTTCCTTTTGCAGGAATTTTTATTCTTAGCCTAATTTTGAACCCTAAACAAACAAACATGGAAGACAATGATTCGCTTAACTCTAATGGAAGACAATGATTACTAACTAAGAACTTAGGCTAGATTAAAGCATTATTGAAGACAGTCTTAGAGCTAGGTGGTTGAATATGTACAGTTGGCGGAAGCAACGGGCGCTGGAGTTGCTTCCGAGGCACGAAAGTGAGTCAGTCTCGTGCTCTCGTCATCACAGTTGGAGTTTAAAGCCGACGTGCCCTTTTATCGACCTTTGAAGCGGGTCACATCACAGATATTTCTTGATTGGAGGAGTTCTTCGGGAACTCAGAGGCGGAGGCTGATTTGCTTGGCCTCGAGTTGCTCGTTGAGCCAATTCTGGTGCTCCTCCTCGGTGTGGCAAGTATGGTAGAGCAGCTCGACGATTTGCTTCTCTCCACTCTGCGACTTGGAGTTCTTGAAGATCCTCTTGAAGGACTTCAGCAGCTTCTTCATGTTGACGGAGGCGCCAGTGAGAGATCGTTTCTCAGACACTCCGTTGATGTTGGCGGTGGAGATAGCTGCTTCGGCGAACATTTTTGCAGGATTTTAGAAAGTACTTTTCAGGACTGTAAGTGATGATCTGTTCAGATGAAGAACTGTTGCTTGAATGATGCTGGTTGCTTGTCGAGTCGCCTTTTTATACCCGCTGGAGGGTCCTTTCTGACCTTGCTACCTGCTCTGCGACACCACCAGGGATAAGGGATGAGAGGATGCGTCATCAAATTTTCCGGGCAGGTAACAAGGACTTACCTGCTTGGTTACTTCGTAACGGATTTTCTCACATGAACTGTAGCAATTTATCTGAGTTCAATCCAAATTAATTGCGATTGCTGCGGGCACTTCTTGGGGCGGTTATTTTGATTAACCAACAAGATCTGAAATAAAAATAAAGAGTCACGAACAGGGCGGTGGCAGAGATCAATATGAGATTAATATAATAATTTCACAAATTAGGATCACTCTGGATAACATAACATATGGTCTAAAGCCAATCTGTTAATTGAAAATATATAATAAGTGGTACTTAAGCTATTAGACCCGAAATAAGTGTTAGAAATTCATAACTATATTCTAAGGTTGATATTTTATTTGATTTTTTTTGGTAGATTTAAAAGAACATAAAACTAACATTGCAACATGAACGTTCTTCAAAACTTCAGGAATATCTCCTATGTAAATCTTTCTACTATCTTAAGGTAGTCACTACCATTTCAAGGTAGTGAAAATATATACTGCTTTATATGTATAGGTTGAATATATGGTCGTACTATATAAGGATATTAGTACACCAATATGGTATCTTGAACAAAACCGCTAAAGAAATATAGGTTCCTCCCAGTGTATTAAATTATTAACCTGTAGATCATTTAAGAGTTCTTTTAATCTAAATACTCCATGACCAAACTATTAATTCTACCCCTATCTAAACTCTAATTATTCCAAATAAAAAGAACTGAGAAATTAGGCAAGGTTCCATCCTTTGAAAATACCCGTCCCGCCAGTTCTTATCCAGTTTCTTATCATGCTTATAAAATGGTTCAACCTTCAAGGGATAATTAAACACAAATGCCGACAAAGGATGTAACCCACCGACTATCTTATCCTGTTTTCATTAAATTAACCTCCCAGGAGTCGTACTGATACTAAAATCAAATTCGTTCTAGCAATCCATACGATACACCTTACGAACTGCCTCTTCGAAATACCACACTCGTATAGTCTTCTAATTAAGCAATTAAGTTCAAAAGATAATTAGGATTAACGTGAAAATTGCGATTTCCAGCGTATCACATTGTAGGAGTATTTCGATTTACTCCGATTTACGCATAACCAAACCTCTCCACATTTTAGCCAGAATAACTTTGTTCGGGCCGAAATGACCGTAAAACACCAAATGGATCGTGTCGAACAGCTGAAACTAAATGGTAACAGGATGCCCAAAAGCCAAAGCCAAGGAGTCGACTCTCAATTGAATTGCAACGATTTGGAACAAATCGATTCGGATCGATACGGCCGACTTTTATTTCTAAGAAATAAAATGAAAAACCTAAAAAGGAAAAATGAATAATTGTCAAATGTCAAATGGGCACCGAAAATGGTAAATACCGTGACGTGACCCGAACAACAAGTACGGATAGCACTCGCCCACGCAAAAACACTGAAGAAGTGTGCAGGATCCTTTGTGTCTGTCCCAAAAAGGGCTCAGCAGGACTCATATGGATGTGCATAGTTGCACACTAAACGTTCCATGTCCACAAATACACCTCCGATCCTTTTGCATCCTGTAGAAGGCATTCCGATTTGAAACGCTTAAACATTCATGTTCACAATTACTCCACCACTGCCGAATGTCCTTTATTTTTCTTTCTCTATTATTTTTTTGGCCGATCTTTTCAATTCTTTTACGAAATGAAAAGTCAGTTACGTGCTCGTTGAATAATTGCATTTTGGCGACTTTGTCGCCAACTGGCAAAAGGAAATCAATTCGTTCCATTAGTTGGCCCAGATAGTAACCGAAGCCAAAGTTCTATACAATTTGAGGCAAAATAAGAGTTCTTAGAACCAAGCACGTTCACTGTGCAAATCGAAATTATTACGCCAATCTAAATTTGTCCTCAAACACTTGGGTTTACTTAACGAATTAATTCGCAATCTATTTTACATTGGAGTTAAAGTTAAGTTTGTAGTAAAATGTAAAAAGCATGATTTAATTTTGTTTATTTAGAAGCTAAGTTAAGCTTCTTTAATTATAGAATATGGAATTCTAATTTTCTAACAATTTCTAGTAGATTTAAAACAAACAAAAAATTGTCTTTTAACACGATCTAGAAACGACAGACAAAATATAATAATATTCATTCTCTTTAGTAATAATATTAACCCTCTAATTGAAACTGAAAATAAATATTATTTTAGTAAATTAACTTTCTTCGACAAAAGTACATTTTTTCAATAGCATAATGAATGTTCTTTTAAATATAAATTAAGTCAAAAGTAGCAAGCAGGCATCCATATACCTTAAACTTTTTTTTCCAAAAGAACAAAAACATAAAATCCATATTTTGCCATTTCTGGGCTATGAATTTTAATTATTTTTGGTGTTTTTGTCAATGCCATACAATGAGCAGTCCCGTGAAAAGGTTTTCTCGATGGCTAAGTAGCAGACAATACTTTAGTAATTATTCAAAATTTTACAGACGGGACGGATTATGATCTTTTCAGTGTATCTACCAACCCGAGTCAACTGCGGATTTTCGGTAAAAGGTAAATTATTGTTAATAATATTGTTATAATGGAAGATCATAAATATCAAGTCAAATTCTAAAGAGATTTACATATGTATGGCTGTAGATGGTAGCCCATCAAGTAATAGGTATTTCTTTTGTTAAAACTTAATCCTTTGATCATTTTTAAAAGGTTAATTAAATGTGTTTCTTTGCGAGGAATAGGAGAGAGTTAAAGACAACTACTGGGATAAGTGATATTTTTAAGATTTAAAGTTAAAAACTTTAAAATAAACCAAATATTTATTGAACTTTGTTTTCTTACAACCGACTAAGTCATAAAATTGGCATAAATAAGTCCAAAAAACGATCCAATTACCAATTAAAGATCCTAAATAAACATGGAAGCGAATAAAATGCTAGCGAAGAAATTGAAATTTCCTGGCTGGATTACCTGGAACATTGGCAAACGAAAACAAACGTATTCGATCGAAAAGATGAGCTCATTATTGAATCTCAACCGAGTGCAACGAATCAATTCGAAGCATGCAGGATGCACACGCAGGACATAAATCCTATTAGAAACCCAATCAACCGTTTCAAATGGGATACATGTTCCTGGATGATCCTGTCCTCATTTCAGTTTCTTTCAATTTTTTGTGTCAACGAATGTGAGAAGCGTTGCAAATTGCTTATGGGGTCCATGTGTTTGAAGGATGGGACTGGATAGTCATTGGATAGGTGTACCAACTCATTTTAAACGTAGCTCTAGTGGGAGCAGCTAACTTTTTGGTATCTCGGTAGGTAATCGATGTTGGTGGCCCACGCTAAACCCAATTTGTCGGCAATTTAAAAAGCAAATTGAATGTGCCTATTGAGTGAAAGGACCTGAACACTGGGAAGTACAGTGAACACGTAGAGCTGGCCTACCCACGTAGATCCCGAAGATCACAAAAGGCGGTGCCTGTCCGAACGATGAGCAGAGAGAGGAAACTGCTACTTTTCGCACAATACTCGGGCGTATGAAAAGAGACACCTCCGGACTATTCCCTTGTCACTACTACGAATATATTGCCCCCGACCCGCACTGACAAGCCGACGCATCCGTCACCTGGTGCGATTAGTTGGCACAATGGATAGCGGCCACGGCAGGATCAAAGCGGAAAATTCATTTGGCTTGGTGGTCTTCGTCTCGGTTTCGCTTTTGATCTCCGCACAAGCGATCCATTGTATTTTGTATCGTTCAACACGGAATTTACTAAAACACCCTCAGTCACCCAGTTCATTAGACACATAATTGTATCAAATGGCATTGGGTAGGCTGGCAAGGCCTCTTCACCAGATCCTTTAATTGGGTTAACAAGAGCTTGTTGGGTTAACAAGAGCTTGTTTGGGTTAACAAGAACTTGTTTGGCCTAGGTTAGTTCCTCCATAAAAAGATGTGGTAAGAAGCTGGTGGTATAACTATACTTAGAACTATGTACTTATATGTTATTTCCATTTAAAAAACATTTTCATTGTTTGTATACACTTTTAGGCGAATATTTTAACTAACAACCGATCCAGAAATGGAATATCAACTATGCATCAGACTTCCAATCCGATCTTTATCAAAAGATAGAAAATATCAAATATTAAAAATGTTGGTCATGTCCTGAGGTTACCCCTTTAAAATATTGCGAAAATTGAAAATATTCCTTGATTAAAAATAACGTGACTCGAAGATCTAGATCATGGATTTGCCAAAAAGTGCGAAGATTGGAATAACATTTCGATATTTTTCACTTTTTCATAATCGAAGCTTTTGGTGCACTGTATAATGAATATTTTAATCATTTCTCAACCAATTCTAAAACAGAATGCCATTTATGAGTCAGAGCTTTAACTTCCTTCAATCTTTATCAAAATATCGGATAAATTAATATGCCCCATTTTTTGCCCAAAATCATGATCATACCCCTTAGAAAATTTACGAAAAATGGGATATATAACTCGGTGCCAGGTTTTGATTGAGAATGATTCTACTTGAAGTTCTAAGAGCGGAAAGGTATACCAAGTATTCGCCGAGATATAAAAATTTTTCATAACGAAAATTTAAAAATTGGAACCAAGTTTATAACATAATTTTTTTGTGGTCGAAATCTAAACTTTCTTTCACTTTTTTAGTAAATATTTTGATTATTTTGCAAGCGGTCTAAAAACGGAATAGCATTTATGAATCAGAGATCCATTATCCCTCAACTTGCATCAAAAAAAATTAATTCAGTATGGGCTAATTTATTGCCTGATGTTACCATGAAAATCCAGAAAAACCATTTTACCATTAAAGCATGATATTTTTATTTCATGTGTAAAAAATACATACTATATTTAGTATATAAATATTTTGCTAGGAAAATTATTTATTAAATAACAGAAATTTTGTTGTTGTTGTAGAAGTTGCACGATACGGTTTGTTTACGGGTAAATTAAGTACTATTGCGCTAATTGTACTATTAGATGGGGTTCAACGGTGTTTGGCCCACTGCTCCCAATATTCTCGCTTCTGCATTTCATATAATCTCGAAATGGTCCGATCAAAGGCGAACAGCTCCTCTTCGCCAGTGAAAAAACTGGAATTGGAGTCTTTCTGCAAATATAAAATACATGCTAATTAGTCTACTAATTTATATATAGTTTTAGTGGATTAGATAACGTAGGATTCCACGAATATAACCACCTCTATTTCGACTAGAACCTTTTCGTAATTTACTTAACTTACCGATCCATGGGATATCTTTAGGTCGTCCATCAGTGCTCGGTCGGAGTCGGACATGCTTTTGGGGCGGTCTGAGAAGCTGAAAAGATTGTCCAGCGTTGTGTTTGCCGATATGACTACACGCACTCGGTTGTCGTAGAGTGTATCTATCAGGGTGATAAAGCGCCGCATCTGCGATTTTAAATCGAGGGTCAGTTGGGGCACATCGCGGATGAGGACGGTGTGAAAGAATTGGGAAATCTGCAGATAGTCGCTACCAGCTAGAGCCTAGATAGTAGATTGTGTCATAAGATTCATTATCATAATTAGCACATTTCATGAATTCTTACCCTGTTGCATAGCTCTTGGAAGGAGCTGTCCAACACCTGACCGCAGGTGCGACTAAAAGTGAGGTCCCGCCCAAAGTGGGTGATTGTGCGAGGTCGGATGATGTCGTTCTCTTCGGAGCACAGGATCTTAAACATGCGATTCATGTTGCCATCCGCGTCTGTCTGGCCCTTGACGAACCAGTTTGTATCTCCGGACTGGGCAATCCGCCGGTAGTCGATCGAATCAAGCCTGGACGCCTTGCATCGTTTCTGCAGAAGCGCAATAAACGGAAGGAAATTTGTTCGCTGGAGTCCATTTTTGTACAGATCCTCGGGATGACGGTTACTGGTGGCAATGACGACAATCCCATGACGGAAAAGATGCGTAAACAGACGTTTTAGCACCATCGCGTCGGCTATGTCCGTCACTTGGAACTCATCAAAGCAGATTAACCACGATTCTCTTGCTATCAACTCGGCTACCGGTCTTGTAGGATCGAAGGGTGCTGGCTTCTCTGAGTTAAAAGCCCGATCCACGGGTCCTTGTCTCGTCTTGGCCTCGTGGATGCGTTCATGAACGCTTGTCATAAAGGCCGTAAAGTGAACGCGCTGTTTGCGAGGTATCTGAAAGAAATTTAAAGGCATTACGTTATGTTGTTTCCACGTCATGAGGCCTCGTTAATTACATGCGAGCAACAGTCGAAGAATAGATCCATTAGTGTTGTCTTGCCAACGCCCACACTCCCGTACAAGTATAATCCAAGAGGAGCGTGGCTTCCCGCTGTAATATCATCGGCGTCATCATCTTCTGCTGTTGATTTCGACCCGAAAAGTCTGCTGAAAAAGCCTCCGCCGCTTCGTCCAGCTTGGTATCTGGGCGAGTAGTTCTTAATCCTGTGGTATACGGCGTCAAGCTCCCTCATCGTCTGCATCTGCCTGTCGTCAGCCATCAATCGTCCCGTTTTCAGGCGCTCCTGGTATTCCTGCATGGGCGCCAGGCGACTCATGTGGCAGACAGGCGTCCACAGCACCTGAGGAGTGCGCCGCGCACAGCGGACGATGAACCCGAGATGGTAGTGAAGCATTGTGGAGCCGTACAATTAGCGCATGAGTAGGTGGTTTTTGCTCCGTGTCAACTTATCATTACATAAACTAAACGATTCCGCGTATCTGACCGCGAATTTTTTTGGCTGGCCGTGAAATTAGAACGGCCTTGCCATACAGCTGGCACATCAGCTGTTCTAGCTGAGCTTATTTATAAAAATAAACATGTCACTTAGTATTCTGAAGATAATTTGATAAAAAGTAACCAAATAGTTTTAGAGAGAGTAATCACTTCAAGTTTAATTTAAAAAATCAAGCAAATCATAGCCAAACCGATTACACAGCGCTGGCACATCAGCTGAGCTTACGGAGTTGCCAGATGTTCTGGCGCGCTTTGGCGGCATATTTAAAACTGACAATTGAATTCTTTAAAAAACATATTTTCCAAACTTTTTTTTTTTTCATCGGATTATTTTTTTAAAAAGTGTTTTTCTATTTTCTTTCTGAAGATGTCAGTGATTTGCCTTTTTGTTGCATTTGGCATGGTATATTTTAAAAATAATGTAAATTCGCAATTGTAAAATAAAAATTGTAAAAACACTTTTACCAGTTTATCTGGAATAAGCAAACATTTGTGTTTTATTTGTCACAGAGAAAGCTTTTAAAATATATATAGCGTGATATAGCGTAGATATGGTCATTAAAAGTTTCAGTTTCAAAATTTTAAAATGGAAAGCCACGCAGAAATTTGTCAATGATTTTACTTAACTTTTCATTAAAGTTGGTGCGTAAGTCAGTCATATATATTCATATATTGAATTATACGTACATATGGTGTATGAAAACCATATTCAACGACAAGATTTACCTTGAAAAAAGATAATATAAAAAATTGTTCACCAATCAACCAAACAATTAAGTCGAAATAAAATTTCTATTATCTGAGCATTACATTCCCATTCTGTTATTATTAGGATCTTTTCTGAGTATTCTTTAAAAATAATATGCATTGATTGCCACCAAACGACGTGGATTGCTGAGGCATTGAGCCTGCAGATTGCTTTAAAGTACAGTAGATGCCACAATGAATACATTTCTGGGTGGATATTTTTGGATACAAAGTCCTTTAGAAATTGACTTGAAATTTATGGTACTCCATTATACGATTATTAACAATAATTTGCCTTTTACCAGGAATCCGCAGCTGACTGACGGAAAAGAGGACCTCTCGAAAAAGAGTGTATTATATGTTTGATAATTGCTAAACTATTGTTTGCTACTTAGCGACCGAAATTGCTTTCAAAAGACTCGGTATTGTCCACTTAATGGCAGCAGCACCTATGAGTAATTGAAGGTGGAAAGCAGAAAAATGAACAACAAAAAAATCCAAAAAAAACTCAACAATTAATTGCCTGAAAAATGTCGTTTATATTGCACCAAAATGGTGGAGATTCTTTTTAGGAGGCAATGACGAAGGCAGAACTTTGAAAAGCCTGTGGAGCTATTGTCTGATTATTTACACTGAAAAAAAGATAAAATTTGATAAGATATAATCTTTAATAAAAATAAATGTTATACTTTTCCAAAATAATAAAAATGGAGTAAAGAAAACAGACTTTGAAATAATTTTCTAAATAAATAATAACTAAATTTTATTTAGTTTTAGTTTTCGTGTAAAAGATTTGTTTCAGTGAGTCCGATATCTGGCCAAGATACAGTTGGGACTTATGGCCAACAGCAAGCAAAGACATGTTCGAGGCATGTTAGCCAGATTCAGTGATCCCTGAGCTCAAGGGATATTGTCGAGACAATAAATGTATGTATAATTGGGAATGGATTTCATTCAATAGAATAGAATAGCAGAGGACGAAACATTCGTTGCGCATGTGCAGATAAATGTTGCATTGTCTGCGGGAAACGAGTCCTGAATGAGTGTTGGCCTCTCAAAGGACAATACTTTCTCACTCGACAGTCGAGTGTGAATGCCGGCGAGAGGTCCTGCCGGCGAAGAATGTCCATATTGTCTCCTCCATTGAGAGGTACTCGTGCGTAGCTCCGCAGGACATCTCCGGCCCATTCAAGAAACCATTACAATTTGCGACCATAACGAAAAATCGCTCTTAGTCGCACTAGAAATTGGTCACAATTGCAAGCAAACACGAAGAGTGCATTTTACATGCCAATTCAATTCAAAAGACTGGAATTCAATGAATGCACTCTCAAAGAACAGCCAGGATGTGCCTGCATGTCCTTGGACAATTTTCAAGTCCTTTATAGCCATTTAACATTACATTTACCGGACAAGGCCAATAAAACTGGGAATGCGTTGCAAATACAATTTACATGCAATTGTTAGGTATCAGGGCCACCGGAAGCCGATGTTTAGTCACAATCCTTGATTGTAAACAGAAATACGATTTTTCAAGGAAGTGCTAATGAAAAACAATAGTGGCGAATCGAAATTTGCTTAGATATGCTTCAAGTTGCAACATCGGGAGGACCTTTATTCAAAAGAATATCTAAAAAGTAGAAATGGTTTTCAGAATTTCATGAAAAATTTCTATACCCTACTTAATCAATCTCATATTATACTTTAAAGAGTCCTATGTCCCAAAGGACTTAAGTCTTAAGTCACTGATTAAATTACTCCAACTCTAAGAGTAAGTAATTAGCTCTAAGGTAGAAAATATACAGCCATTATCCTTTGTGCCTATAATAACGATGCTAAGGGTATGAACACTTCAAGGACGATGCCTTCGATTCTCCCTCCATAAAAACACTTTGTGACTTTGGAAAAGTCTGACTCAGGGTCAGATCAAGTGTAGAAAAAGGTATCTAATGAGCTCTATGTCAATATAGCAGCCATCTTCGGCGATAATCACAAGAGTTTTTAGCTGGCCAAACAGAGGTTTGGGTTTTCTTTGCACTTGTACGGCAAATATTGACACAGGACTAAGCAAACGCACTGGGCCGTAGAAGAAGATAAACAGAATGCATTATTATTTTTGGGACGATAGCAAGTGTAGGTCGATTGGAACAATATTTGACATTCCTACTTAGTTGTATACATATATTTTCATAAATTTTGGCGGCACTCTATCGAAACATTCTAAATCATTTGCAGCGACGCGTCGGCAGACAGAGAAATATTTATTGAAAAAATACCTATGCATGAAATTTGAGGACCCGACAGGAGGGTACCATTGTTGATCTTATCGCTGGCTATGGATCTTGAAGTGCAGGGAAAACACAGAAAAATATTTTGTAAACCAAGTACCAAAACAAAATAAATCCCAGCTAGTTTGGTGCCTTATCTACATCTCGGGTGTAGTTTTTGGGATCACTACTCGGCATAATCTTGAATGTGAGTGCAGTACTTTTAGATTGCACATGACAGATAAACAGAGTAATCCCTCGCATGCAAGTACTCAGACATGAACAATGAACCCAGCCTGTCGTATTTCAATGATTGAGATACTTGCTGGCTGCCCTAGCACTTCGTTTTCAAATATCTCGTCTGGAGATAGACACTTTGATTATCTGTATCCGATGTCAAGTAGAGGTGGCTATCTCTGCCCGATCCCAGTTAGCCTGCTAATTGTACCTCTAAGATAGCAATGGTGACCAGGAATTGGTTAACCAGATTCCACTATCCTGGATCATGTGTGAACTTCGGCCCGAGACCGTAGATGCAATTGCAGATAGAGGATTGGGTGTAATCAACTGGGCGAGATTGGTTTGTGGAGGAACTGTGCTATCTGAGGTTATCCCATTTCCACATGTGATAAATGATCTGGGTTTTACACACAAGTTCTCTAATTGAACATCTTTGATAGGGACACGAGTTCATTCATATGTGATGTGTAGGTTTAACGAATCTTTCCCTGATTTGAAGAGATGATAGGCAAATTAGTTTGGAAACATGATCTTATTCTACAAGAAAGGTGTGGATTTAATTTAGGATAATAAATTGTAGAGCTAAAGGTGAGATATATAATAGCTTAACTAAGTAATAAATATAAATCTTTATAGAAATAGTAATAATAGTTTAAAAATACAAAACAAAATTAATGGAATATAGGTACCTGTAGTTCTCTCATCGATGGGAATAAAGACTAAAACAATTTTTATACATCGGAGGATATTCTTAAAAAGTAGAAAAGAAACAAGACCATAATAAATGTATAAACCAAGTTGAATATTCATCAATCTAACTTAAAGGATATCTTCAACAGGAAGTTACATTAAAATTCCAAAGGAAATCCTTCCTTGGGAAGCTCTATAAAGAAAATACTTCCTGAAATTAAATATTTATCATTGTCATATGTATTTATGTGCTATAGCCGATCATAGGGGACATTTCTTGCAGAGAAGATTGAAAGATAAACGTTCTTGTTTGAACTGAATCGCTACTAGAGAAGGCAAGTATCTGGTATGGACATTGTCCACTTTGTACCCCTATACGAACATTGACAAAGGCCAAGGAGGCAGCGTAGGAAGGATATCCTAACAAAGCAGCTAATCACGGATGCCAAGAAGCCTTCAAGGCACATCCATATATGCATTTGTATCTGTATCTGAGTCCTTGTTTACCTACATGTCGCCTACCGAACGCCCAGAGGCAAGAAGAAGTAAAAAAGAAGGAAAAGCAGAAGTCGCTCCCTTCGCACACTCACAAGGACAATTGACAAGGACCCGACCCGACTAGATCCGATCCCTTCCTATTTGAAAAGATCCCATACACTTCGATCCGACTACCGCGGCAACCCAACATAGCGGTTGACCATGGAAACCCAAGACCCACACAATATTGTGGTCCATGTATGGCCTCGCATGGTTTTCCTTTTCCATTTCCAATTCCTTTTCCTATTGATCCGACATTTTCCGACCATTGTCCATATATGTGTCTTTGTTTCGAGAGAGCCCGTTTCAAAGAAACAGGAAACATAATCCTACAATAACATTTTTACGCACTGAGCTCCTTTTAAGTAATCTTTACGTATGAATTTTGTTATCAATGGCATTTCATCTTCATGTGCATGTTTTTTTAGGCAAAATTGAAATAACACAGACGATATGAGGAGTATTCATCAAATTCCCGATAATAGGGGACCGTCATAAGGTCCATGGAACCGTCATAAGGTCCATGGAAAGAGTAATTTACCAGGATCAAGCCTGAACCGATGGTATCTGTTATTTTAAGCATATAAGACATCCATGTGCAGATATTTAAATGAATTTTAAGAAAATATTATAAATAGAAAGTGGGGGAGACTTA